CAATAACATGGGAGGGTTGATTACTTCATAAGAACTCCTTTGTTGTTGTGGTGGTGGTGGTGGTTGGTTTGGGGTTTATGTTCAGATACTACAAGCGTGAAATTAAGGTCTTGAATCATATTTACAATAGGAGCAGGTTTTTGTTTTATTGTGATGAAATTGTTGAGACTCATTCTAATTTCTGGTTTTAACCACGAAGCTAAACTTACTTTGACAGCATAGGCACGTCCAGAATTAAAGCCGTAAAACTGCCGTGTTTTGACGGGAGAGAACAGCTTTAGATTTTTAAGATGAAAATTTTAAAGGTGTTTATGTTTTATTCAGGAAACATTTCACTGTAAAGCAGCTGCTTGACTAATATTTTCGGTGTGCTGATTTGGGAGGGTGGACACTGAGGCAGGAGTCGGGATGGAGAAGGACTTCGTGGCCCTAGAGCTCTAGTTTTTGGTCACCGTCCTCCGCCGAACCTTTTCTTCTGACACAGCTCCCGCCCACCAAGGCCGGCCCCATGGACTCGGGTTGTCTGGGGCTTTATCCTTTGCAAACACAGCAGGCCGTCGGACCCTCGCAGCTGCTCTGATGGAAGACAGGGTGATGGTATCTTTGTTTCATATGTGGAGACTGAGAGTTCCACAGTCAGCGTTAGCAAGGCCTGGCAGGAGCAACCAGGGGCCAGGGTGAGGCAAAGATGGCAGTGGGGTAGAGAAAGATAAGGTGTGTAGCAGTGCCATGTGAGCCACATAGAAGCCTGTGGCAGAAGGACAGATCAGTCGGCCCTGTCGTTGTTGACTCTTTCAGTGTCCATTTTCGTCTTGTAACGTGGAGCGTTATGTACTTACCCTCAATGCGTTTTCCACCCCACTCGTCCCTTAGACGTGAGAGTGAGAGTGGAGCCCGGGCACCATTTACCCCCACTGCACACAGGGCACTGCACACGGGTTCCTTCTTGCTGACACTCCTGGGAAAGCAGGAGGAAAGGGCCTAGGTGCTTGGGCTTCCGCACCTATGTGTGAGAAACAATTAGCCAAGGGTGTGGAAGGAAGCTCACACTTGGAGAGGAATGCTTTGCGAAGTGTAGGGCCCAAGGCAGGCTCCCTTCAAAGCCTGTAGGACTGCCCCGACAGGTTGTGTGCTTGGGGAGTGGGGGAGGCACCCAGCACATTTTTTCTTTTTAAGACTTATTTATTTATTTGAAATGCAAAGAGAGAGAAAGCACACTTCCATCTGCTGGTTCACTCTCCAGATGGCTGGCACAGCCAGAATAGGGCCAGGCTGAATCTAGAAGCCGGGAGCTGCATCTGGCTCTCTCACGGGGCAGCAGGGGCTCTCACACTTAGGCTATCTTCTGCTGCCTTCGCAGGCGCATCAGCAGGGTGCTGGGTCCAGAGCTGATCAGCTGGGGGTCACTGGGATGCTGGCGTCACAGGTGACTGTGCCACAAGCATTCTGCATCATCCCAGAGTGCTTTTTCCTTAGGTTGTTTTTGCTCGTGCTGTGTGCTCAGAACACACGCTGCCCTAGGGAGACACTTCTTGCGTTTGTCACTGTTGTCGGTGGAGGTGTCTCCAGCAATGCAGTATACTTGCTTTGGTGATAGATTTTATTTATTTATTTATTTTACTGTAAATGTCTTGTATGAGGTGCAGAAATGAGAGCTATGGACTCTGGTATTGGTGATATCCTTAAGTAACTTGAGAGCTCATTGTAACATTTTTTAAAAATAATACTCATTTAAAATACGTGTTAAAGACTTCAAAAATTGTCTTCATATTGAAGGAAGAAAGTAAAGAAGATCCAGCCAAGTGATCCCTGGGACGAGAGCATGGATAGTGTGAACTAAAGCAGAATGACCTGTTCGGGTTTTCTTACGCTAGCCTGTAGTTTCCCTCAGAAAAATTTTTATTCATGTCTACACATCCTTCTAGTTTTTCATGCAAGAGTGACACACCATTAGCACCCTTACACATTTGTTTTTAAACTTACCACTGTGTCTGGTTTTCATAACAGATTTCTTTAGTCATCTTCATGGTTCCCAGAATTCATCACTGGTGCAGCCCAGTATTTACTAGTGCTTTGATGAAGAAATGATCTGTGATTCCAGGTTTTATTTTTCTTCTTAAGTACAAGAGAGAGAGGGGCTGTGGGGGCGTTTGGGAGGAAGAAAGAGAGAGAGAGAGCTTGCATGCATGTGAGCTGGTTCACTCAGGGAATGTTTTGCCATGACCAGGACTGGGCCAGGTTAAAGCCCGCAGCCAGGAATTCAGTCCAGGCCTATCCCAGTGAGCGACAGGGACCACTTTATTTGACCCATCACTGCTCTCTCCTGAGGTCTGCATTAGCAGGAAACTGGGTGTGGATCCCATGGACTCTGATGTGTGATGTGGGCATATTAATCAAGAGTCTTAGCCGGTAGCCAAATGCGCACTCCTGTTCCCAGGGTTTTGTTAAAACAAGTCAGTAGTAAATTTCTTTAATCCATGAGTGCATACTTAGGTGCACTTCTGGTAGTGAGGCTGCATGGCTGAGTCTGGAGGAACGCCTCCCACTCCTCCAGGAAGGCCTGCTTCCAGCAGCTGGGGGGAGCGCGCCCACTTCCCTACTCTCCACGCCCACCATGGCTGTTAAGGGAGTAAAACAAGAGCATCTATTATTCCAATAGCAATGAAATATAAAGCGACTAGGAACAGACTTGATAAATATGTAATGTCTATGTGAAGAAAACTTTAATATGCTCCCGAGGGATCTGAGAGAAGACTTGAATAAATCAAAGTTATGTAATGTGCCTGGATGGAAACTGGAGAAAACGTCCTTTCCCTCTCTGTTAAGTGACAGTCTGAACACAATCCAATAAAAATATCAGCAGTTTCTTGGAGGGGAGAGGGGGTCAGTTAATGAGCTGATTTTAAAGGACCATTTGGAAAAACAAACTAGGAAATTCAGAAAATAGCCCACCAGAAATGAAAACATAATATGAAACTAAAATTCATAAAAATAATGTTGTTTACAAGTAGATGAATGAATCATGGTCTAAGCTTAAATATATTCAGGGACATAGTGTATGGTGATGGTGACAAATCAATGGGGAAATTGAATAGATCCCTTGAGGAAAGTGGGTATGGAGGTATTGAATTCATATTGTGTGCGGCACATGGGATGACTCCCAAACTAGATCAAAGATATACAAAAATCAAATATGTATTATCAGCATTCACAGAGAAGTTTTATACTCCTAGGCCTTTCTGTTATAACGTAAAATTCAGAAGCCTTTGGAGAAAAGAATCCAACTTCACAAAAGTATTCTTTTTGGCAAAACCATTGTATGCCAAGTCTAGACGGCAAACATTAAAGAGAGATCTTTGCAACTGTTATCAAATCAGTCCTTATTATCTTAATCTATAAAGAGTTTCTATAAGCCGATAGAAACAGTCCCTATGACCCAGTAGCAAAGCAAGGAACGATTACTCAAAGTCCACAGAAAAAGAGACACATGAAAAATTTAATAAGAAAAAATAGAGATTATCCAATAAGAGAGCTATACATCACCACCTCACGGCATTCGTCCTTTTCCTACGAGAGTAGACGGGGCGTGGGAAAAGAAGCAGCTGTGTGCATTACTGCTGGTAGACGCAGCCTCACTGCAGTACCGAGGAAATATGGCAAAATTGGGAAACAGTTACAATGCCTGTATTTTTAGCCCAGCAGTTCCGCATCTAGCAGTGTATTGTTTTGGTTCTTCTGTATATACACACATGTCAAATCATGTAGGATTTTTTTTTTTCACTAAAGAGGCACTTCTTCACACAGGTTTGTAGAGTGCCTGATGTATAACCAAAAATGGGCATGTAGGAAATAGTTAGGAAGAGTTGGCTGTGCTGCTGTGTGATGGCCTGGTAACAGAGCTGCCCAAAGCCAGGTGCAGGATGTCACGCTGCCAGCTTTGTAAGAGGGAGGAGAGCTTCATGGCCCTGTTTACTGTGTCTAAATACAGCCATCGTTGACATGTGTGCAAAAACAGAAGCCAAAAGCCCAGAAGGACGGTATTGTATTGATTGCCTCTTGGGCGAGGGGCTGGGGCTGAGATGCACGCTTTCACTGAATATAGGTTTGTGCCTTTTGACTTTTGAACCTTAGCTGTTCGTCTCAAATGTAAGTTCTTTTAAAACCCAAATTTAAAATATTCACTGCATTGAAAATATTCTGAACTGCCTAACTTAATGCTAATTTGAGTCCTTTCAAATATTGATTAAATTTGGGAAACGTGCTGTCTCATTGATTTTATGTTTGTGCTGGGTGGCGTTGGGGGATGGAGTGATTCCTTTGAAACTTAAGGAAATGATCCCTTAGTTTTAGATCGCATGGGAGCTTTTTTCCTCTTTGTTCATGTTGCCTTTTTGCGACTGGGCATCCTTCTGTGTGTAAGTGGTCCTCTTTCTCCCCCGCCCTTCTCTTCCTCGTCTTTCGCTTGCTCTTTTTTCCATCCCACGCGGCTTTCCTCCCTCCTCGCTTCTGTCTCTTTTCCCTTTCTTCATCCTGGCTCCTGAAAAGACCGACTGCATGGAAGACACCCAGCTGTCGGCGCTGGTGTTGTGAATGTCCCATGTCAGAGCCCTAGCTGTGTGATTTCCGATCTAGTCCCCTGCTGAATGCACCAGGGAAGGCAGCTAGAAAGGGCACCACCCCTAGTGAGACCAGGGTGGATTTGTGGCTCCTGGCACCATCCTGGCCTAACCTTGGCTGTTGCGGTCATTTGGGAGTAAAACAGTAGGTGCAAGATCCCTCCTCTCTTCTCTCTCTCTCTCCCCCAGTCTTCCTGAGGAAGAAAAGAAGGAAGAGAGGGAGGAAGGGAGGGAGGGAAGGGACATTCAATTATCAGTGCCTCTAGCTCACTGATAATGTCCCTCGTAAGATAGTGTAGAACAGACAGGTAAACTAGAGGGTCAGGGGCGTGGTGTGGCCATGGCTTTGGGGTCCTCACTAGCCTCTCCTCTCTGCCCTTGCAGCAGTGCTGCCGCGGTCCTCGGCCGTGAGGCTGGCCTCCCTGCGTGACCTGCCCGCCCAGCTCCTGGGGCTGTACCAGCAGGGCTTTTCGCTGGCTGCTCTGCACCCCTTCGTGCAGCCCACCCTCGGGCTGGAGAAGACGCCCCTGGAGCACATCTTTAGGGCCATCCTGATCAAGAAAACCGACAGGTAAGGCCTCCCCTGTGGATGTGTGGGCAGTGTGCTGAGGGGAGGAGGGGACATGAGAGAATGGGATAACGGCTAGAAGTCCGTGTGTTGTTGTTCCCATGGCCTCTGTCCTTTGACATGCCGCCCGCGGGACCACTGCCCCCTGACAGGTAAGGCATGAAGCACGTCTTGAGACAGGAAACAGATGCCACACCCGACGACGAGCAACAAATCCTATCATGTGTCCTTCTTCTGTGTTCTGTTGAATTACACATAGCTAGAAAAGCACTTCCTCTACTGAGCATGCTTCCAGAATGGTGTGGCTGGCAAGCATACCGTGCGGTTCATCTGGCGAGTGTGGCTGGAAAACATGATCATTTTATTACTGGCTTTGTATACACTTCCTATCTTCCCCCCAAACCTAGAAATACTTGATACATTTGAACCCTGTGTGAGTTTTTTCAGTCACCTGGGGGAGAAAATAAAAGCTACCCAAATCACATCACCCCAGCAGGAAGCACCTGCTGTGTTCTCCGCCCACGATTCTTGGGGACAGACCTTTGATAAGAAATAAGGGAAGGGGTGTTTGAGCTTAGATGAGGAAGTACTTTTTTGCTCAACCTTTCCTCCATGCTACTACTCAGCTGTCTTCAAATAAATTCAGAATGTAGAAAGGAAAGAAAATACAACTCAGTAGTGTGTGCTGGTGAGGTTCCATAAGGCAGTCCCTGGGATCCAGGGGTTGTGTTCCCTGGGTTGCTGTGTTGGCCTTGCTTTTTGGAGGGGACGGGTCTGCCTGGGTCAGAGGTAGGAGTGCCCTTCATGGAAATTCTACTGTAGGAAGTGGTGCTAGAGCAGGACTTGGCACAGACTTGCTGAATTTAACCTGCAGAGGTGTTCTTTGTTCTTCTGCTCTGGGCCTGGGGATGTTATTCAAGTGCAGAGTGTGATGTAGCAGGTGTGTGGTAAGGCCCGGGGCTCTGCATTTCTGACGCAGATGCTGCTGGCCCACAGAGTGGCAAGGTGTGGTGGGCCTGGCCCATTCTTGTCTGTTCTCTGCCTGGTGTTTTATTCCTGGGAAAGCTCCATGTACCAGGAATCGTGTGAAGAACACAGGGCTCGTGGCTGGAGGACCTGGATTCCAGGCTGCACTTGGGGCCTCTTGGTTGGTTCACTGAGCAGTTAGCACTACGTCATGTGCGAGACCCTGTCTAGCTGTAGATGCTCCGATGGGAGTGACACGGGTGAGGAAACGCCTTTTTAGGGGGAAAAAAGGCCACTACTCTTGGAATCCTCCCATCAAGGGAGCTGGAGGTTGAAGTTTGAGTTTTTCATTCTGTTGACTGCAGGCCCCAGGAAGTGAAAGGACTTTGCAGATCAGAGGAGTGGACAGAACTATGGAGAAGAATGAGACCCTGGCATGTTGGGGGTGAGGGAAAGGTGGCACCTTCGTGGATTTGAGTTTTCACTCACCTTGAGGCTGAACTACCTTCCTTGACAGCTGTCATGAACAGAAAAAGCATTTCTTGATTATCCTTGTGCTGGGTCCTGTAACTGCCTTTGTTCCCACTAAGAGAAAGGTGTGCAACTTGGTTATTTCCAATGTAAAATAAGACAAGATGACCACAAGAATCTCTCCTGTTTCCATCCCCATCTTGGGTGGTGATGGAAGCAGAGTCATGATGAAATTGAATTTTAAAGTTGAGATATTTCTGTCTCCTAGCCAGTACAATAACCATTTATTATATTGGACAGGCAGTCTTATAGAGAGGAGGTGACATGGAGAGAAAGATTTTCTGTTCCCAAGTGGCTGCAATGGCCAAAGCTGAGCCAATTCAAAGCCAGGAGCTTTTTTTGGGTCTCCCACGCAGGTGCAAGGTTCCAAGGCTTTGGCCCATCCTCTATTGCTTTCCCAGGCCACAAGTAGGAAGCTGGATGGGAAGTGGAGCAACCAGAATATCAACCGGTGCCCATATAGGATGCCAGCAATTGCAAGGTGAGGATTTAGCCATTGAGCCATCATGCAGGGTCCCAAAGCATTATTCTTTAATCATTTATCTATTTTATTTGGAAGGTCCAAATTGCACAGGAAGAGGGAGAGAGAGAACTTCCATCCACTAGTTCAGTCCCCAAATGGCCACAACTGCTAGAGCTTAGCTGATCTGATTGTTCCAGGTCTCCCACATAGCTGCCGAGGTCCAAGTAGTTGGATCATCCTCTGCTACTTTCTCAGGCCATAAGCAGGGAGCAGGATGGTAAGTAGAGCAGCCAGGACATGAACTGGTGCCCATATGGGATGCTGACTTTGGGAGGGGAAAGATTAGCCTGTTGTACCACCACACTGGCCTAAGTAACAATGTTTTCATATCTTAGAAAAAACCTTCACAGTATTTTAAAAATTGTTTTCATTTTATTTGAAAAGGGGACGGGGAAAGGGAACCTCTTTGGTTCACTGGTTCATTCCCCAAATGTCTGCATTACCTGTGGAGAATACAGCTTAGGGCAGGATTCCAGAATTCACTCTGGGTCTCCCGTGGGAGATATTCAAATACTTGGACTGTCCTCTGCTGCCACTCAGGGTACACATTAGCAGGAAATTGTACTAGGAAGTAGGCAAGACTTAAAGCAGTTTTTTAATAGCTAGGCAAAATGCCAACTCCTTTCACACTACTAAGCATAAGCAAGCAAGCAAAAATCCACAAACCTTTTCTGTGTCCATGGGGATTTTAAGTAGTAAAAATGAAACAAAGGAAACCATACTTGACTCACTTTAAATAGCAATAGTTAAAGTGGAATTTTTTCTTAGAATGTTTCAAAAGTCTGGCAACTGTAGATGCTGTTAAATGGAATGACTTCGTTTTCCAAAAAGCAATTCCTGATGAATATTGTCTAAGGAAAACACACTAGGAGAGGCATTAGTTCACTTTTCAGATTGCCATTGGCCCAGATGAAGTTCACCGACTACTTGAAATCTGGGCCTCAGCCTCACGTGTTTGGAAGGTGAACATGTGTGCAGCAAGCACAGAGATATGCGAATTCACATTCATTCACTCAGTCACTTGTAGACACTTGTCCAGCACATACTCCTTGTAAGGTGCCATGATGTAGGACTCTGGATGATGGGAAGGTTACAGGTGCAGGGCTCGGTGGATGTGGACCCACACTCTCACCGAGAATATAAGGCATACATCTTACACCAGTGGGAACTGAAGAAGGAGCAGCCGCCCTCCCACTACAAAGGAAACTGAGCGAGTGTTTCTGGAGGAGGGAGGGGGCTCTAAACGTGGGCCTGGTTCCTCTTGGGCGATTCTCGAGGTGATGGGCATTGTGTGGGGAAGAGCCAAGTTACATTTCATAATGAAGTGTCTTTTAGTGGCATTTGGGAAACTTGAGAGCATCTTTCACGGCCTTAGTAAATTATTAATGAGCCACTCCAAAAGCAGTCCTCCGCGCAGTATCATTCTGCTGAGCTCTCTACAGTTTTGACAAATTTCAGCTTAAATCCATGAAAAATTACCTGATCTTTCCTTTTGAAAATTGTGATGACTGCCGTTTCCTTTCAAGACGGCAGGCCAAGCCATACAAGTGAACTAGAAAGTGTTTTTGATTTGGAGTGTGTCGAATGCAGTCCAAGTCGCCTCCTTTGAAAACTGACTGGAGAGGGAGTTTGAAACACGTGGTGAATAAGGAGAAAGAGGACTTGTACTTCCTTTTCCCAGCTTGATCTCGGGAATGCTTGGTGATGGGTGACAGCCCAGAGAGTTTCATTCCAGCCAGCATTCCAAGTACAATTAAGGTGTCCATAATTGCCAACGATCTTAAAACTTTATACTTAAGGGAAATCAGTTATTGAAGTGTCATTTCTGATGTTTTTCATGAGTGTGGGCTTAATGCCAGGGTGTTTAATGCAGATCGAAGTACAGACACACATGGTGTGGCCGCTGTGGTTTTCACCTGTTGTCATGCATGCATGGAGCTAATTCAGAGCCTGGCTGCTGTGTGTGCGTGCGTGTGCGTGTGTGTGCGTGTGTGTGTGTGTGTTATCACAAGTGGGCAGCCTTTAGTGCCCAGGTCTGCAGGACACTTGGGAACTTTGTAGACATCCATCAGTTACCTTTTGGCTTAGCAGTGCCTGAGAGGGCACGAGGTGGTGCCATAACTTATGCAGGGGGTGGGCTGTGGTTTGACTGTTTCCTTCAAAACTTAGGTTAAACGGGCCTGGCACAATGGCTCAATTGGCTAATCTGTCCCTTGCAAGCACCAGGATCCCATATGGGCACTGCTTTGTGTCCTGGTTCCTCCATTTCCCATCCAGCTCCCTGCTTGTGGCCTGAGAAAGCAGTAGAGGACAGCCCAAAGCCTTGGGACCCTGCACCTGCATGACAGAGCTGAAGGAAGTTGCTGGCTCCTGGCTTTGGATCAGCTCAGTTCCAGCCATTGCAGCCACTTGGGGAGTGAATCAGCAGATGGAAGATCTTTCTGTCAATATCTGACTTTCCAATGAAAACAAATAAACCTTAAAGCTCAGGTTGAAGTGCCATTGCATGTGAATTGCCATTGCTGTGGTATTCCAGGTGGTGCATTAATAGGTGATTGAGTCCCTCATGAGAGTATTAGTGCTACAATCGGAGCTGGCTTAGTCATTGCAGGAGTGGATCCTGATAGAAAGGGTGGGTTTGGCCCATTTTCTTCATTCTTTCTCACATCCTGTGCTCACTACAGCACACAGACTCTGACTTGATGCTAGTATTGGGCTCTTTAACTTTCTAGCGTTCAGAATCGTGAGGCTAATAAACGTCTTCTGTTTATAAATCACCCGGTCCCGAGTACTCTGTTATGGCAGTAGAAAGCAAATTACACAAGTGAGATTCTAAAATTTCAATGGGAAGTATGAAAGGCATATGGGCACAATGACCCTTGGAAAAAAACTTTTAAAATCTGAAAGGTAGAAAGAGTGAGAGCGAGTGAGCGAGACAGAGAGAGAGAGAGGTTTTCTATCCATTGGTTCACTCCTAAAGGCC